ACTGACTGGGATTGGTGCCGCTGACTGCATGGGTTTGCACTGCCAACTCGATGCAGTCGCAATGCAGTTGGCTCACCACTTGCCCACTTGCCTCTGACTAAATGCCCACCACTTGCCCATTTGCCTCTGACTAAACGTGAGACACTTCGAAAGGCCACTTCCGGACCTTCCGGAAGGCTGTGGACTTGGCCTTTCGGGTACTGTAGCAGCTATGACCTTGACCTTGCAGGACTGTAGCAGCTACGACCTTGACCTTTCAGAGCATCTACAGCCACGACCTCTACAGAGCTGTGACTCCTAATCTACGGACCTACAGATCAAACCCCTACCTCTACACAGACCTACGACAGACAGAAGACAAAGAACTACCAAAACACACATCACGGGTTCAAACACGGGGGGTCGACTCAATACTGTACATGGGAAAAGTGAGGTCTGGGGATCGAACTCTAGGCCCCGCATCTGTGACTGCAGAAAAGTGAAAACCGTTTCAGTAAACTCCGAGCTCTAGCAAGACAGAGTACGCTACGGACGGCAACATATTTGGATCTATGGGTCCCTTCTTGTTTGGTCCCGATCCCACTGGGTACCTATGGGTCCCACATAGGTCCGATCCCACTGGGTACCTATGGGTCCCACATAGGTCATAACCAGGTCCCCACCAAGCACACCTTCTTTCTGCCTCTGCAGTACAGAAAAACGAAATTCAACTTGAGAGGGAAGTTCAGGGAACCTAGTAAACTACGTCCGTTCAGATTGAAAAGACAAAGCACTGTAGAAAGATACGCCATTCAAATCGAGATTCCATCCATCCATCAGGTGCGAAAGCAGTTTACACGCTCAAGACCATAGAGGGTTAGGAAAAGAGACGCAGAAGACCCCAACAGGACATACAATGCCATGCACGCAATCATGGGTATCCCTTAGGTGCACAGCAGTTACCTGACTGGCTGAGCTCAGAGATGAAGTATGACTCAACCCCCACTCTCATATGGTCGCCCTGACCCAATTAGCAACCTCTACAATAGTGTCCTATCAACTAGGATGGTCTACCCTACACCAGTGGAGTCCCCACTACGTCGTAGGGGGGGTTGCCGTACGGCTCGTCTGCACTGACGGTCGGACGGCCGTACGAGCGTACTTACTGGCCCTGTACAGATGTGCCCCAGGCCGCTGGGGGGATGCCGACGGGGATTTGACCTCTGGGGGGTAGGGGGGAGCCAGGGACCCACCTGCATTTAAAAAAAAGAAAAATGATTTTTTTTGGGGTGAAAATATGAAAAAAAAGAAAGAAAGAAAAAAAATTGATTGATTGAATGATTGATTGTTGATTGGCTGTTTGATTGATTGTTTGGTTGATGGACTTGTTGATTGATTGATTGATTGATAGAAATTAAGGAAAAAAAAGCGCTGATGTTAACATAATATATGTGAGTGTGTATGTGTGTGTGTGTGTGTGTGTGTGTGTAGGGGATGAACTGGGAGTGGCGGATGCAGCGGGAGCGGGGTGGGCAGCAGGCGCAGGAGCGGGGGACGCAGCGGGAGCTGGAGCGGGAGCGGTACCGGAGGCATCAGAGGGAGTGGGAGCGGGGGGAAGGTAGCGGGAGCAGGAGCAGGGGAGGCAGCAGGAGTGGTAGCGGGAGAGGGAGCGGGAGTGGGAGTGGCAGCGGGGTGTGTGTGTTTGTGTACGTGTGTGTGTATGTGTGTGTGCGTGTGTGTGTGTGTGTGTGTGTGTGTGTGTGTGTGTGTTCGCGCGCGCGTTCGTTTCGTTTGTTCTTATTTTATAATCAACCAATCAATCAATCAATCACCCAATGAATCAATCACCAATCATCAATCAATGAATCAATAAATGAATCAACCAATCAATTAATTAATCAATCAATCAATCAATCAAGTAATCAATCAATCAATCAATCAATCAATCAATCAATCAATCAATCAACCAACCAATCAACTAATCAATCAATCATTTTTTTTGGTGCATTGTTTTTTTTCTGTTCCGGTTTTTACAATCAATCAATCAATCAACTAATCAATCAATCAATCAAGTAATCAATCAATCAATCAATCAATCAATCAAGTCAATCAATCAATCAATCAATCAAGTAATCAATCAATCAATCAATCAATCAATCAATCAATCAATCAACCAACCAATCAACTAATCAATCAATCATTTTTTTGGTGCATTGTTTTTTTTCTTTTCCAGTTTTTACAATCAATCAATCAATCAACTAATCAATCAATCAATCAAGTAATCAATCAATCAATCAATCAATCAATCAATCAACCAATCAACCAACCAATCAACTAATCAATCAATCATTTTTTTGGTGCACTGTTTTTTTTCTTTTTTGGTTTTTACAATCAATCAATCAATCAACTAATCAATCAATCAATCAATCAAGTAATCAATCAATCAATCAATCAATCAATCAACTAATCGATCAATCATTTTTTTGGTGCATTGTTTTTTTCTTTTTCGGTTTTTACAATCAATCAATCAATCAATCAATCAATCATTCAATCAATTAATCAATCAATCAATTTTTTTGTTTTTTAATACCCCGACCCAGAACGAACATTCTTTTTTTTGTTTCCCCGAAGGGGGGTGCACCCCACAACACCGGCACCCTCCCGAAGCCCCTCATTCCCCCGACCTGCCCCCACAACAGCCACGTACGGAGGGGACAAAGTCCGCACAGACAGGCCATACAGGCCTGGGTGGGCCGTACGGATGGTCGTACAGACATCCGTACGGCCTCTCCCCGTACGTGGGCACGACGCTGCCGTACACCAATATACAACGCCGGATTCCCCGCTCATCAGGGTTGTCGACTCCAATCCCTCGATACCCCGCGCAGGGGGTCTGGGGTCCAGGGGTTCTAAGCCCGGGTCTGAAACCCAAAAAAATAAATAAATAATAAAAATAAAATCATAAAGAAAAACAAAAAAGAAAAGGGGTGTGTGGGCAGCGATGCTACCCGCAGGCATTTTCTGCATTTTGCAGAATAATTGCCTCTCCGGACCCCGCCCCCAGGGATAGACACTCCCCTGCCGGGACCAGGTGCGGGGTGGCCTGCAACTGTTGTAACTTGTCGATCTGTGAATACGCGTCTCTACAGGAGTCAACGGATGAATCTATCTCCTGTGTCCTAAGCTTACAGAATAAACAACTATGTCTTTTCTGCATCCCACATACCGTTCGACAGGCAACTTCCCAGACATTTGACCCTTTTGCATTTCAAGCTCGAATATATTAGGGCGTTTCTTTTAGCCGACTCCACTCTTCACACAGGGACAGACAGTGAGATTCGAAGTTGCTTGGGGGCGTATACACATGGTCCATGACACAGACCGCCCGATTGACCGAACATACAAAATAAGAAAAGTCGAATTGTACACATTCAAATAGTAAGTGACTTTCATTTTATTTTTTTTCCCCTTTAGTGATGATAAAACCAAATATAATGCAAGTGAGAGAAGGCCTGCCTTAGGAAGCGACTCGTTCATATGCGGAAAGTAGGAAAAAAAAAGAAAAACAGAGAAAAAAAAGGGAAAAAGACGAAATTTGATTAAAGCAGCAATCTTGTGGACACAAGGGAATGTACACACTTGTCCAATCACACCCCATGCACATTCAAGAAAAGTCAGGCCACGTCTCTGTCCACAGAACTTCGCATCAAGTCATACAGCAGAGAAAAAAAAAGACATAATTGATGACCACGGCAACTGAAAATATCTTAATAACATCAAAGTCAACAATAACCCCACAGCCATCATGTCATGAAACCGATCTGAGTACATGGCGCCCCTCCGAGTCTCAGCCACCGCCGTGCCCTTCTCAGGGATCTCGACCTCCCACTCCCTGTAATTTGATCCGAAGCCTGTCAGTGTATTAGCCTCCGTACGGATCGAATCCTCTTCACCACACTCACACGTACCGCTGTGCGTTAGCCTCCATGCCGTTCAGTGCAGTGTACGGTCAATAACAACTTTATCATACGCCGTACGGACCTGGTTAGCTGACAGCCTGACAGCCTGACAACCACTCAGACCTGACGGAGCTGACCTGGCAAATGTCCTCCTGGAGAAGGAGCTAGAGATTAGTTTCTTACATTGCGGAGAACTTGAGGTTTTTTATTTTCCTTTTTTAACTGGAAATCAAGGTGGTATCACTGGTATGCCAACGGGTGCCCAATGCCAGTATAGCAACGGGTGCCCAATGCCAGAATATTCGACGAGTGCACGACCCAAACACAGGACCAGCTAGGCCTCCTCACCCTACCCCAAACAGGAAGCCCCACTCCTGTGTAACCGCTAGCTTGATCTCACATGCAGAGGAATAAAATACAACCATAGGACTACCGATCGGTAAAAAAATGACCCAAAAATCATATTACTCTCTCCATCACAGCCAGCTGGTGCAAGATGCCCAGTGCAAGACAAAGCAATTGACGCCTTCACCTAGCATGACAGCATCGCCCACTTCTTTTTTTTTTCCAGCCTGAGGAAACGAGTCGCCCGAGATCCCTCCTCACCTGATGAGCCAGGGGCATGCCATGAATCACAGAGTGCTCTTTGACAGCCTCATTCTGTACCGTAGCAAATAACCCAGAGGAAGCACATACGCCACAGGACCAGGCAAGTAGCAGAAAAAGAGTAGAAAATGAGACGTCTACGAGAAAGGAAGAGTGAGGGAAAAGGGGCTGCCCAGTCTCACCAACACCAAAACTCATCCAACGTAGAATTCGTGGGCCACAAGCGTTCTAAGTCTTCCACCATGCACAAGACGTGACATTACTCGCAGAACGGCATACTTTTTGTGAAGCCGGACAAACACCCAAGCAGCAGTAGGCACAGTCATAGTCCCCTGGTCGATACTCTATCGCAAATGGCCAGCCCAATGTTGATCCTCCACCATCATTGTCGAATCAGCACCTGCTTGACCCTCAGTTCCCCGTTCCGCTACGGGCCATGGAATCCGCCTTCTGGCCTCTGTCAAGCAACGAGGGTCGGCTTCATGCTCGGGCCTATGTTCCCGCATGAGGCCAGGATCTGCTTCACCCTCAGGAGACGCTTTCCACCTCCCAGGAGGATCTTATTCACCTGCAAGCCTCGTTGGCCCGCGAGGACTACACTCAGGGTTTTCTTGAATCACATTTAAAAGTTGCTGGACGTCGGCATCATTTGCGGCGTTCTGCCTTGCCCAAACCAGCAGCTCATTCTTCGCCTTCTCCAGTGTGAGCATCGACGGCAGCGCTGGATCGTCTTTGAGTTCCTGCGCGGTTGAGTCCCCTGCCAACTCCGCAATGCGAGGAACAATTAGCGTCAACACCTTGATTATCCGTTCCTTCATGAATTGATTTGCAGATTCCTCCAACTCCTGAAGCTGCAGCCGAGTGGGCAGGCCGGCAAAGGGCTTTGTCAGCAGGTCGACCATGGAAGGTATGAGCACAGTAACCAGCCTCGCCTCCAGGTCAGGGTAAGTCTGCAAAACAAGGTCAATGACCCGGACCACATTCCTGGCCGCCAGCAGAGAGTTCAGAGCCCGTTCAAATACCTCGATGGTGTCTCTCAGATCTGCCGCACCGGCTGTAATGTCGTCCTTAAATATGTCGTAGGCTGGTATCCAAGCGGGATTGCCCAGAGATTCCCAAACGGTGGATAAAATTCGAGAGAAAAACATAAATGGCGTAGTCGTAATGCGCAGTAAAAATAAGTTGAAACCACCTTCTCTGGCCGCTCCAGCCTTCACAGCATCGTTGCCCGGGCGTAGAAACCAGTCCGGGTTCTCGCTCTCCACGGCTCTCACGCACAGAATGTCATTCAACCTCTTGAAGAATGACATGAAGAACATCCGGTTTTGCCTGGGGTCATCCGGCAGAACACAGATCAGTGGCGGGGCTATCCGTTGTCGCTGTTCTCCTCTAGCCTCTGATGATCTGCAACATGCAGCAGCTGCTTGCCTGGTGGAGTCCCCTCCTGGGCCTTCCCCAACATCCGATTTCGTATCCACAATCCCACGTGATTCAGGCACTTCAAGCGCGTCCGCAAGCAGTCCTGCAGCAGCAGCTGTGCACCCAGTAATATGTTCTGCACCCGACATTGCCCAGCACGCAATAATATGTTCTTCACCGCACATTGCCCGGAAGCCCGAACCATACCGCCCCAGAAACCTCCTCAGGTGATCGGCGAAGCCTTCCACGTTCGTAGAGCATCCTTTGATCCGATTTACGATCGATGCTTGAACTTCAAGCATCCATCGCAGACAACTGATGGCCCCCGCGGACTCCCAGATCTGCCGCTTGAGATGTTGTTTAGACTCTTTAGAGTCTTCCACCGCATCATGGAGCAGATCACGGAGAGATTCAATGGTTTCGGTAGCGAACCAATCCAGCTCTCTCGTCCCGGGTACCGACTTCCAGGACCTTAGGCACTGGAGCAGGAGCTCGGACACCTCCTTGTCAACTTCTCGGATCCGCTGTGAGATGAAGATTTTGGCCAGATGAAGGCGGATGAGAGGTGACAGAGATTCTGGTCGGTCGACGTACAAATAAAGAAGATACCGCAGATCAGGAAGGTTTGCCTCAGATACTTTGCCAAGAGGCGGAGGGAAGTCGTCCTTCATCCTCTTGTCATGGCGGTGCCAGTAGATCGTCCTACGAGTCCACAGCCACGACAGAGTCCTGATACAGTCCTCCACGATGCTGCTGGACGCCTCGTTCTGCGCACAGGCCAGGAGAATTTCTACAGTCCTTTCGTCGCACAAGCGCTCCTTTACGTCCGCCACCCAACCACGAAAGGCGTCGTCAAATTTCGTCGGCCAATCCGTGCCAAGATGCCATCCTACGGGACATATGGTCGTGAAGGCATAGCTGAGCCGTGCCACATAGCCCCTCATTGCTGAATTGTCGGGAAAATGCGCTGACTTTTCATGCAGGCGCAACCGCACAGGACAGTTGACGATCGCATTTATATCACTCGCTGCAAGGGCGATGGCGCAGATAGCAGACGCAGCCGCCTCCTGGACCCGTAGCTTGTCATCAGCTATCTTGTCAGGACTTCCCCAACCGTAAGGCTCCAGCAGCTGGAGAAGCACCCGTAGCAAATCTCTTGTGCAATACCTGAAATCTTCGTCCCTCAGCATATCCAGGATGAGGTCTTTATCTACCTTGTCGCGAGCAGGCTGCCACGGAAGCACTGGGAGACCTGCAAAGAATCCCGCCAGAACTGAAGCAGCCAGTTTTGCCTGAACTGAGTACGGTCCCCAGTTTCTGAGCACCATGAACATGGCGAAATATCCCTGGGATCGAGCGAAGTCTCGGCCGGCATCAATATCATGTCTGCAACGGCTAGTCTGTGGCAGATCCTGCATATATCGGATGTTATTGCTAGAATCTAGTAGGTCACACTTTTCGCACGCCCTGTGTTCTCTGGACAGCCGGGACAGAGACTCCAAAGCCAACGTCAGGCGACTTCTTGACGAGTGAAACCACAAACGGTAGTCATCTACGACATGTGTTAGATCCTTTCTAACCATCGTCAACAATTCCGCTACGCTATACCACCAGTAGCCCGCCAGATCGCAGTTGTCGAAGATCGCATATTTTGCATCGACAAAGGAATGACGACACTTATGGACGTACCAGGTCAAGCCCGAACTCATTTCCCAGCGAGCGCGATGCATTCGCTCCAGGAAGGGATTTTGAACGTCAACCTTCCCTCCCCAGCGAAGTGCGGACTCGCGCTCGCTTAGACAGGAAGAGTGGTCATGACGGAAGCATTCCGAGAAAACAAAAATTCTCCTACTGATGACGTACATAAGAGAGAAAAATACAAGGCAGCAGCCGAGCACGGTATCTATTAGAACGAGATAGTAGAGGAGTGTCAAGCACTCTTCCAGACGTCGCAGGAGCAGCTGTTTAGAGCAGTCCTCCAGGTGCTGAGGGCAAGGAGGAAAAGGGAGGTAGTACATCAGGTATGCCCGAGCGCCCATGAATAGAAGACGAACAACTGCAATCAAAGCAAACGGTTCGGAACTCCTCGATTGCCCCAGGAGTAAGCCGACTTGGGTGCAGGACTTGCCCACGAAGCAAGATCTTCGGCTGGACTCTGTCAAAAATTTTGACAGCATCTCGACCAGGGTAAGGCCCACAAGAGTCCACAGGACATCCCTTGTCATAAACTCTGCAAACGCCCCAAACGCAATTGTCTGGACTGTTATCAACAACCAACTAATACCAGAGTGTATCAGCTCGAGACAAACGTAATATTTGACCTGCTGCTTAAGACTCGGCGACAAAGGGTAACCCATCTTTACTCTTGGACGAACTGATCTCTCTCTCTCTCTCTCTCTCTCTCTCTCTCTCTCTCTCTCTCTCTCTCTCTCTCTCTCTCTCTCTCTCTCTCTCTCCCCCCCCCTTTCCTCTCCCCCCCGGTGAGTGTAGATATGCGTAGGTATAGATAAGACATGCACACATACCTAGCGGTATCTGCGTGACCGTCTGTGCGCGTCTATGCAAATATCTTTCGTCGTATCTATCTAGGTTTTTCTCGACTGATGGACCGGTCGGGTGTGCTTTATCTCCATCTTTCAATTCTCTGTCTGTCCTTCTGTCAAGGTCTTGATCAATCCTTCGTATCAGGGCACTGTTACACGTTTGCTTCGTTTCAGCTCAGCGAACCGCAACTCTACTGGTATTCGGCGGCTACAAAGAAAAATCTCGACTCCCAGTCCATCGCTTCGGACGCGGACAAATGAACCGCACGCAACCTTACGACCATACTGTTGTTTCTACTGTCGCGCCTACTACACTATTTTTTCCCGCTCTAAGGGAGAACGTCCTCTGTTCTCTAGCATCGACCTCCACTAGGACCACAGGAATCTCTAGCACACGGAGAGAGTGAGAGAGAGAGAGAAAGGGAGGCAGACACACAGAAAGGTGGCGGGAACGGAGAAAGGGGAAGAGGGATAACAGGGAGACAAAAGCAGGAAAACAAAAGGGTGGCAAAAGCACATATTATCGAGACAAGTCAGAAGGGAAGACTTCAAGGATGGCTTATGGGCGTCGATAGATGCCTGAGAACAACGCCAAACCGCGCGCGCGCGCGCGCGCGCGCGCGAGAGAGAGAGAGAGAGAGAGAGAGAGAGAGAGAGAGAGAGAGAGAGAGAGAGAGAGAGAGAGAGAGAGAATGAAGGATAGGAGGGTGACGAAGAGAGGAAACACATGCACTTACTTTCAGGATAATTCGAAACACGGTAGAAGCAAGGACTTCAAGGATCGTCCATGCGCGTCAGTACATGGGTGAGAACTCAGCGCGCGCGCGAGAAAGAGAGAGAGAAGTCATCGGAAGGCGAAAACGGGGTGGTCGGGTGGAGGTAATCCAGGTAAGCAGAGAGGTGCGCGTATTACCAGGATAACTGAACAACGAGGGGGAAGAAAGACTTCACGGTTCGCGTCTGCTAACTACAGAAGACACACAGGGTAAAGAGCGCGCACACACACACACACACACACAGAGAGAGAGAGAGAGAGAGAGAGAGAGAGAGAGAGAGAGAGAGATGGATGTAAGAGAAAAGAGAGAGTTGTAAGTGAAAAGAGAGAGAGAAAGGAACAAACGGAGAGCGATAGAGGGGACAGGAGTGTAGACCAGATCTGTGGGGTATAGAGGGAAAGTGTCCCCGCTGTGCTGTCGTCCTGCTGTTTCGGTGGATGATGATCAGACGGAACGTAGCGATCGAGGGAGAAGAGAGACACGGGTGCGGGAGGGAATAGGCGGGAGGGGAGAGACACACCGGGGGGCGGGGAGAGAGAGAGGAGCAAACGGAGAGCGATAGAGCGGACAGGGGGCGTAGCGGAAAAGTGTCACCCCTGTGCTTTGGTCCTGCTGTTTCGGTGGGTGGTGATCGGACGGACGTGATAGACGGAGAAGAGACCATGGGTAGGCGGGAGAGGAGAGACAGAGGGGGTGAGACAGAGTGAGAGATCGGAGGGGGAAGAGAAAAAGGAACAGGGTATTACACGCGGGGGAAGGTTGTGCAAGTGGTGGGGAGGAACGGGGCGCGGGGCCTGGCTGGAGAACGACGGCGTCAGGCGACGAGGGGAGCTAGCGGCTGTCCAACGAAGGAGCTGGCAACGATATATACCAGAGGTATTCGAGTGAAAAGCATCAACCATGGTGTACGCGTCCGAATTCCGAGGAAAAGTGTACGGTGAACATTACGAGTGGTCGAAGATGAAAGTTCAGCAAGGGTCATCGTCTGATGAAGCGTTCTCCAGCTCAACAAGGAGGCCGTCTGATGAAACTTTCACGTTCTCCCATCAAGTTCTTTTGTCTATCGGGTCTGGTAAGTGGACCTTAGATCATATTTCCAATATTCCCAAAATTAGGAGCGGACAGGGGGCGTAGCGGGAAAGCGTATCCTCTGTGCTGTCGTCCTGCTGTTTCGAACGGTATGAAGTGATCGACGGAGAAGAGAGACACGGGTAGGGGCGGAAATAGGCGGGAGAGAAGAGACACGCGGAGAGAGAGAGAGAGAGAGAGAGAGAGAGAGAGAGAGAGAGAGAGAGAGAGAGAGAGGGAGAGAGAGAGCGGAGGGGGAGGTGAAGGGGGAGCAGGGTATGACACGCGGGGGCAGGTTGTGCAACGGTTGGGGAGTAACGGGGCGCGTGGGCGGGCAGAAGAACGATGGCGTCAGGCGACGAAGGAGCTAGCAACAGTCCAATGGAGTTGGCAGCTATACACGAGGTGTAATGGTTGGCATTCGAGTGAAAAGCATCAACCAAAGTGTACGCGTCCAAATTCCGAGGAGAAGTGTACGGTGGACATTACGATTGTTCGATGATGACAACTCAGCAAGGGTCATCGTCTGATGAAGCGTTCACGTTCTCCAGCTCGACAAGAGGTGCCGTCTGATGAAGCTTTCACGTTCTCCCATCAAGTGCCCTTGTGCATCGAGTCTGGTAACTGGACCCTAGGGCCTCGCTCCGCTACTGTCCGCTATACAAAATTTTGTGTAGTTGGTGGACAGCACTCAGGGCACGCTCACATTGCGGTACCAAATCCGCATAATACCCAAAATCCCGAAAAAATAGCGTCGAGTGATAGTCACATTGGAATCTCAGAGCCGCTTTCGAGCAGGTGCTGCTCCCCACCAATAGATGGAGCCTCCTGGGGCGAGGTCCCACTAGCAACGGGATAGGATAGAAACGAGTTTGTGCTCCCCACCAATAGATGGAGCCTCCTGGGGCGAGGTCCCACTAGCAACGGGATAGGATAGAAATGAGTTTGTGGGGCAGTTGAGTGACCCAAATCCTGCCCTGCACTACTCGTGGTCCCACTGTCAGTACTTCACATGTATTACCCAAAAAAGTAAGGAGATCGTCATTCCCCTCCTCCTCTCCTAGTACCTTCGGTGCGTGGGGAAATAGGGAAAAGTGGACTTTTTCCCAAACTCCTAAAGTTTCGGAGGCTGGGCCCGACAACGGATGACATTGATAAATCTGATCGGCGGCCGTCTTTTCGTTTTGGCCTCCGAAAAGGTCGGAGGCCCACCGGAGTATGCCCACGCACGGCAACCCCAATTCTGCAAAATATGCGAATTTGGGAACGGCCCATTTGAAGTTTTGGGCATGGTTCACGTCACACTGTTGTGCCTCTTGTGATGGGACAAGGTCGCGGCCGTCTAGAGAAATGGGAATTTGGTACTTGGCTGGTCACAGGGCGCCATCCACAAATTGTGCAAGAACTTTTGTGAACGACTTTTTGCCAGATTTTGAAGAAAATGCAAAAAAAAAAAAAGGCATTTGCTGTCAGAGGGAGAATTCTACAGCTAAATTCCAATGCCCTGAGGGAGAAGTGTCCGTCTGCTTCCTTACCATTTTGGCATGTAAAAAAAATTAAAAAATTCCATCTGCTCTTTTGGTTGTCACCCATGGGACTACGCATAATTGCCCTTAGGGCGAAGTGTCGGGGCCGTGATTTCGTCCTTTCTAGACGAAGTCCGACCGTGTGGTCACACGAGGACCTGAAGTCCCAGATAGGCCTACCCAAATGCCTCAAAATTTTGAGACTTTTGGTCCTGGCGTGAGTATGCCCTCGGCTGGAGACCTCGGAGACAGACCGCTAACTCAGAGGACCTATGCTTTCACGAACTGTCCTGACATCTCTCCGGTGAATACCGACCGTGACATGTAGTGCTTAGCTGCGACCTGGCCGAGCGAAGAGGTGCCTTCTCCCCCTTTCAGCTCACTTCCCCGTTCCCCTCCTCGCCCCTTCCGCTCCCAACACCGGCAAACCAACCCCCCCTCTTCCTCCTCTCTCCCTTCTCCCCTCCCTCTCCCCCCCTCCTCTCTCTCTCTCTCGCGCGCGCTCTCTCTGTCTCTGTCTCCGCTCCTACCTCTTCCTTCCCCCACACCCTCCCTCCCCCCTTCGTCGTTTCCATCCGCGGAGTGTCACCGGAAGGAAAGCAAAGAGGGGACCCTCACGCGTTACGCCCTATAAATCCCTGCTCCGTGTTTCCTTATTCTCTGAATTTCCCTCTGTCGCCCTGTCTCTCGCTACTTTCGCATCTCTCTCTCTCTCTCCCTCCCTCCCTCCCTCCC